TCTTATGGTCAGTTCTAGAGAATGATGGCTTTTCGATTTAATTTTAAGATAAATTTTTTTATGATCATTGAATTTTTTATCACTAGCTTTTGAAAATTCTGCCGAAATCTAAGTTTGTTGAATAAAACTTGTAGAAAGAAAGAAAAGAGAAAACAAGGAAAAAAAAAGGGAAATGAGAAATTTTAAAAGCTAGGTATTTTTTTTTATAACAGGCAATGTCATTTTGGAAGGTAAATCTAGTGCAACCCACATATTAACCCATGTGCTTCATCTTAATTTGCCACTCAAGCAAAGGCCTAAAACAATAACTTCTTTTTATAATCCACTCATGTTGTTCATATAATCTCTATTCAATGATGTAGGCACCTCATTTTATCCGGAGTCGTTGAACATTATTAGGTCTTGAATTTAATATTGGGTTTCAATTTATATTTAGGATTTAGGCCTAAGAATTAAAGGTCTCAAAATATTTCCTTTTATTCTTTTTTTTTTAATTTCTTTTAGCTCATTTTATTTTTGTTATTTTTATTTAGTCAATGGTCAAAGTCAATAAAAAACAAAAAAATTAAAAATTAAAATTGAAAATGTGATCAAATTTTTTTTTTTTTGAAAATTTAACTTGCTTTGATTATTTTTAGATTTGAAAATTAATTAATTGAAATTAATGTAGGAATTAATTGATCACTAATTCATAATAAAAAGGAAAAGGGAATTTTCAAAGTGTTAAAACCGAATCTTGGTATATTCAGTCGACCAAACACTTTCCAATTGATTTGGAATTTGATTCTTATAAAAAGAACTCATCAATAGCACAATAGATGTGAACAACAATTAGAGCAAACAGAGAAGCAAAATCTAACCAATTACAACAAATCACGTAGAAAAAAATTAAACCAAAAAAAATAGTCTTGGTTTCTTAGGCTAGGGAAATTTTTCAAAAATATTAGGTTTTAAAGACAATAGTCAATGAAGAGGAAGGTTGAAAGTCATTTGGTGTTTTTTTTTGTCGTTGGTATTGAAGAACATGGGTGAAAAGGAATTGGAATCTAAGACCTTTGGAGTTAAATTAAGCAAATTTCATAAGGATTTTAAGAAAGTTAAGTGAAAAAGTGGATTAAGAAAATTGAAAAGATTTTTTCTATTTTTAAAATTTTCGGCAAAGTAAATGGTGGTGGGAGAAATTTAAAACTACCAAATTTGGGTTTCACAGATGTTTCTCCATTAAGGTTGAATTTTCTAGTGATAGTTGAATTTTTTATGTTGGATTTGGAAAAATCGTAAGCTTTAGGAATTTTTGAATATTTTGGTAAGAGGTTTTCGAAAAAAAAAAGAAGTAGAAGGAGAAAGAAAAAGAATATAAAAATTTATGATTTTGGCTTAAATAATGGGTGTGAAATGACACCGTTTAGAAAAACTGTAACTCATGTCTTGACCCATTAGGATTCATGCATCAACTTATTATTTACTTGACCTGAATCGCTTGTTTTTTTTTCTTTTTTTAGATAACCATTTTTTGGTTTTTTATTGTATTTTTATTTTTTGTTTTATTTTATGCTTTTGGTTTTATTTGTGTTTTTATTTATTTATTTATTTATTATTATCATTATTATTATTATTATTATTATTATTATTATTATTATTATTATTATTTGTTTTTAATTTTTGTTATTATTTTTGTGTTTAATTTTATAATGATGAAAAAGAAGATATAAATTTAGAAATTGTAATTAAAATTATTTTTGGAAAATAATTAAATTAAATTCTACAATGATGAAATTAAAAAAAATCACAAATGGTGAATTTCTTGATATTTTCTTGGTGAGAAATTTTCTCAAAATCTTGTCAAAAGTGTTGAAAGAATTTTTTATGATTTTTCAATAAAAGGAAATTTTATTTATTTCTAAAAATGTTAAATAATTAATGGTATTTCATGTTGTGGCATAAATTTTATATATTAAAAAGTAAGTAAAAATTTTCGAAAGATGAAATTATATATATATATATATAAAAGCACATGTGGTGATTTTTTTTTTCAAATTTCCTAAGTCAGGAATTTTTTTCAAAATTTTGCTAATAATGCTGAAAGATTTTTCAATAAAAGGAGTTTTTATTTAATTTCTTAATAAAATGTTTAATAAATAATTCAAGAAATTTTAGATAGAAATAATAAAGACCATTTAATTAGGATAACATTTAGGGTAATATATAATTAATCGGTGTCATATTGGGGTGGGTATTGTAAGAGTGTTAAAACCTTCCTTATACGTTACCGTATCCCTAAACCTAGTTTTAAGATATAGATCAAAATCTATTTTTTTTAGCAATTCTTAGTTAAGTTTAGGACAATCTTAAAAGTGATAGATTCAATTAAGTGCCAAATCATACCTAGATAAAATAATTGGTGGCAACTCCATATTTTTGCATCTAACAATTGAATTCTTGAATTGCACATTATGACAAATGAAAAATGGAATGAATGTCACACAAATTTTGGCCCTTTTGTAAATTTGCCCTATGATGTGGGAAAAGGGCAACCTTAAGGCAAGGAATAAAAAAGAAAAGATGTTGCACAAGTCTAGATATTGAAAGGACATTGAGAAATGTAACCATTTTGGTAATTTTTCTTTAAGGAAGGAAATGAAGAGTTTGAGCTTTACAATCGAACTTGGGTAATGATGTGTTCAAGATAACCTTCATGTTTATCAAATCACCAATATCTTGAATCATGTACTAGCTTACAAATAATTTTCAAAAAGGTTTTGCAAATTAATCAACCATTTTTTTTCATAGCCTTACTAAATATAATTAACTTTGAAATCCCTCTTAATTAAGTAAAAAATAAAGTTTATGAAATTCATATTTATGTCTCCTCAAGGACTTGAACTTTTGAATGATATGATTCTTGAATGAAATAAAGCTTGACATGATTTATGAAATGGTTGGAGATGTTCATTCTTGACAATAATAACCCCTTTGAAATTTTTTTCAAAATAATTTAGCATATGCTTTTGAAAAATGAGTTATGCATGAATTTATTTTCAAACAATTGTGAAAAAAAAAGAACTAAAATTTATTGATAATAACACTTTTGCAAACAAAATGTTAACTTCACTATTTTGGAATCCTCCTATAGATTTAAAATAATACTTTCCATCCTTAAATTTATCAAGGAATTCAATTTACAAATTCCATTGTTCCATAAAATCCATAGTTAAAGCATTGCATTGAAAATATCTGTAATCTTTTTTCATGATTTGCCCTTATAAAAGCCCTCTTACAATTTTAATTATACCCTTTTGTGGTTGGGCATAGGATCTTCCTTGAAACTTAGTTTTCTAATCTTCTCGAAGTTCAACTAGCCAACCTTGATTAAACTATGTACCTTATGCTTGAAAGAATAATAACATTAAAGTATAACAACATTCTATTGAATGACTCACATTCCCATAGTGATAATCACAAGTGGCATTAAAGTCATACTATTTGAGATAGAGAGGCTTCAATGGTTCCAGATAAATTGGCAAGATAAGGTGATTTGTAACAAGTTATGGAAATAACTCAATGTAAGTTATAGGGATCGAATAGATGATGGTTCTCATTTTTATTACTCAAAAAGTTTCTCGGTTGAGCAATTGATTGATTTAAAGGTGCAAATGCAGGTACTTGAAAGTTTGTCTACAAACTTTGTTGCAAAACTAACTAATAAGCATAAAGATTTTAGAAGCTGTTGTTCATGATTAGGTGAGAATATAGATTCATGCTAATCTATGGAGGTTGTGTGGAATTAAAAGTTCATGTCTAATATATATATATGTATATATATATATATATATGATGATTGAAAAATAACAAGATAGGAATAAGGTTCAAATACAAACTAATATTTGAAGATTATGGGTAACTAAAAGGCCATGATTTTGAAATAAGTTATTGAAATGCAACTTTTTGCGGCTCATCCATCCTTTAATCCTTACCTTCAGCCACTAATATGACTTTAACAAGTATCGATTAGGTGAAAGATCGATGGGCCTTGACATAATGGTTGTTTGACATATAATTGTGCTAGATGTGATAAGGATTTTTTAGGGTGAACCATTTTAGTCTTATCAACACTTTCAACCATTGTCATCAACTTGGAAAGGCTCTCTTTTATCTCTCGAATATCTTGTCCAAATTTCTCTTGATTCCAAAGCATGAATTCGTGTTTCAATTGATCTCCTATATCTTTTAAACCATTGCACCGAATTAAAAATAAGTATCTAACATATTATATGATCATAGGATGAATGCATGAACATATTAGGGCAATAATGATGTATGAATACAAATATGCTTGCACAATTCATACATACATACACACACACACACACATACACACATTATGCCTATATGAACACAAAACACAATGAACAAATAAAGGAAAACGAGAGGAATCCAACTTCTAACTAATCCTAAAAATCTTTTTCTTTTTCTTTTTTTCTTCACTAAATAATTTTTCACTATTTTCACCACACTTCTTAATAAACGTTACATGTTGTGAGGTACGAGAATATGTGAATTAATAAAAAAGACACAATTTCTTATTTTATTTTTTATCTATTTATTTTTTAAGCACATCAAATTTATCAAAAGATTGGAGCAAGAAATGTTCCTTTATGTATCCTTTTTTTAAGATTTTCTATACAATGGATTGGCATAGTTCTATCATAAGACTAACTTCATAGGTTTTTCTATATGTTGGGTTTGGATATCTCATAAAGCTAAAAAGATTCTCAAATCGGTACTCAATATCATCCATGATGGATTAATAAGACACCATGATCTTCACCCCATGACAAACTTCAAATAGAAAGAATTCAATCTAAGTGGAGGTGTTTTACTAGAATAGAGGTTAATACCTCATGAAAGTATAAGTACTTGGTTCTTCCTGGAAAAGAGAAAGCCCAAGTATAAACTTTATGCATGTGTAGTACGTGTGTGGAAAGAACATATAAATCTCTTGACATTTTATTTAAAAATCTCAACTTTTATGCCCTTAATTAAACACTAATTCTTGGACAAACCAAACATATGATAAGATGATATCATCTAATCTAATCTAATTCTATCCAAAATCTTATATCATCTTATCCTACCTATGATCTCATAATCTTGTGAATCAAAAACACGCAAAGAATCCAATGTATCAAGAGAAATGTAAGGGTGTGTTAGTTATGTTCAAGCAAAGAAAACACACCACCATCCTTCTCGGTGAAGTAATTCTTTTGTTGCATGAAAAAACTAGGTCGACGTAAATTGCGGATGACCAATAATCTTTATCTTTTGCTATATTTGGAAAGACATAGTCTTCTCTCGATCCACAGTCCTAGCACTCTAGCAGAATTAAGCTTACCTAACAACTATATTAATGTCTTTACCAGCTAATCATTCAGTCACATATACATCTTACATTTCTAAGCACTGAATTCAACAAGATCACGAAAGTTTTAAATCTTTTTTTTTTTCTTAAATTTCTTTCTCCAGCTGGGGTTGTTAGTTTCTCTTCCAGAGCTGTAAGATGGTCACCACGGAGACTACCAGAACCATCGTAGGGATCATCGGTTAGTCCCAAAAAAACCCTTTTCTCAAGTGGTTTTTAATAGTTTGTTGCTGTGAATTTAAATATGTTGCTCTTTTTCTTCAGGAAATGTCATTTCCTTTTTCCTGTTTCTCTCCCCCGTGTAAGCCTTCGAACTTTACCAAACCTTAATGTACTATGGTTGATTTTTCTAGTTTTTGTTATCTGTCGTTTGGTTTCAGTTTTTTTTTTAAGTTTTACATTTTATTGCAAAAGAACAATAAAAAAAAGTTAAATTCGAAATTTAACTTAATTAATTTATGTAATTATTTTTAAGAGTTAACATCTAATAAGTTTGATTTTCAAATTATAACACTTACAATTTTTTTTATTATTAAATTATGACTTCTTTTAAAAAATAAATAAATAAATAAATAACGTCAACCCAACAAAACCTAATTAATTGTAAAAACATTAACTTGCATTGCATTGCAGGCCAACATTTGCTAAAATATGGAAAGCTAAATCAGTGCAAGAATTCAAGCCTGATCCTTATGTAGCAACCGTGCTGAACTGCATGATGTGGGTTTTCTATGGTCTCCCCATTGTCCACCCTGACAGCGTTTTGATCATTACTATCAATGGCATTGGTCTTTTCATAGAGTTAACCTATGTTTCCATCTTCTTAATCTACTCTCCGGGCCAGAAGCGCGTAAGTGAATCTGTTCCATTTCTCAAAACGACGGTTCTTTTTAACACATATATAATATATCTTCATTTTGTTTGCAGCGGAGGATTGTCATATATCTTCTAATCGAAGTCATCTTCATGGCAATTGTAATTTTCATTACCTTATTTGTCTTCCACACCACCAAAAACAGGTCTATGTTTGTCGGAATATTGGCCATTATCTTCAACGTAGGAATGTATACTTCACCATTGACTGTCATGGTAGGTGAATTATGTTTTTCTTCTATGCTATCTTTAAATAACTTATTACCACCGATCCAGAATTTAGCTTGATTTATATGTAATTACCTTTAAGAAAAGGCACTTAACAGATTTAAATTCACTTTGCAACCTCAACCCTTATTTTCATGCTATGATCTCTTATATAAAAAAGAAAACAATTTGTTACTATTAAGTACCTATCAAAATCTACTGATATTTTCATATTTAATCTATAAATGTTCACGTTTTGGCAGCATATGGTGATCAGGACAAGAAGTGTTAAGTACATGCCATTCACTCTCTCACTTTTTAACTTCTTCAATGGAGTTATTTGGGTGATTTATGCATCACTCAAATTTGATCCTTATGTCTTGGTAACTCTCAACAGCCTATACTCGAATCTGCCCCTCCTCTTGGTCTCAGGCTTGAGTTACTAAATTTTAATATTAACTGCAAGAGTTTTTGATATCAACATGCCTCTGTTTTGAATGCATTGGTAGGCTCCAAATGGCTTGGGAAGCCTGTCAGGCCTGGTGCAGCTCCTGCTTTATGCATACTTCTACAGGACTACACAATGGGACGAAGATGATAAACCACCTCAAAAAGTCCAACTTTCCGAGATTTGACCACTCCATCAAGTTTTTGATTTTTTGGTCTTAGTCTTGGCTATTCTTCTCCTTTTAGTAGATTCATTTCTTGGTGAGCAGCTTTTTAGATTTGCGCAGACAGGTTCATACAGATACGAGCATCTGTATGGTAAACATTTCTGTTTCAACTTTTGTTGCAATAAATGTTGGTCGATCTTGTTTTTGGGTGTTTGAGATGAATCTTTTTGTTCCAAGTTTTCTACTTCCTTGGGCTTCAAACAAATAGGCAACATACATTAGAGTATTGAACTCTTTAAGTTCAAGGATCAAGATTCAAAATTTGACGATCTTAAATATAAAAAAGAATAAGCATAATAACCAGAGTTCAAATCCTAATAGCTATAAAATAATAATAACAATAATAATAAGCATATTGATACCTTCCAACCATACAGGCAAAAACCACAATCAACCAAGCCGGCCCCATGATCCAATACATCAGCAGAAGGCAGGCACCAGCTAATGTAGATCAACTTAATAATGCGGATTAGAATTGTTTAGTGTATAAAGAGTGATCTTACAGAAGGGGTGGAGAAGCCAGCCCAAAACCAGACTGGCAAATCAAATGAACACATATGGGAAACCCCAAAGAATTAAAAGAGAAAATGACAAAGGAAGTAGGAAATATTTTACGTCATTCAACAAAATGTAGCACAGCTTGTAAGCCTATACCCACCACCGCTTTTTCCACTCGGCAAGGTATCTGATTGTCGTTTTCTTTTTCATTATAATACAAACTAGACCTCTCTAATTTTTAAACAATAGTCTCCCAATCTTTTATCAGCATTTAGGAGTAATTCTTCAAGGCCCTCGGTACCTCCGGAAGCAAAGACAGCCCTGCTGCTCATCAACAGGAATCATACCTCCGCCTTTCGATGTGTCTATAGCCTCCAGCATAGATACTACCTCATCCATTTCAGGCCGCTTGTCGGGGTTAGCATCCCAGCATCGTTTCATTACATTTGCTAGAGAACTGGGGCAACATCTCGGTATCTCTGGTCTCAAATTCTGTGGTTTCAATGTTAAGGACAATTAGCAATGAAAAGGAAGGAGGAGAATGGAATCTAAGGTACAATTCTTTTGTAATACAACATGAGCAATAATGCTCTGTTCTAGGAGGGAAATTAAAGAGGAAAGGAAAGCAAAATTATCAAGATAGGGGCAAACAATTACCTGGCGAACCACGGCTGAAGTCACTTCAGAGAAACTAAGGTCAGGATATGGCATGTCACAACAATATATCTCCCACAAACAGATGCCAAAACTGTACACATCACATTTCCTGTTATATGGGTTGCCATTGAGAACCTGAAAACCTCGCATTTGATGAGTTACTAGTCATTTAATGAACAATTCTTACTCTTTTCTTTCACTTTCTCTCTAATTAGCTGAAACATTAAAGTAACAGATTCACTAACATCACGTTCACTGAAAAAGCTCCGAATGGTAATTTCCCATAATTAAATCAAATAAAATAGAGCTTCAAAGGGAGTTGCCTTGGAATAATGATAATGAAAGTTGTTCACTTGATAAAAAATATCAAGTATGCATCATTATCCCTTTGGCCTAAAATACCATTAATTATACTATAAAATCAAAAGGGTAAACTCGTATACAAAAAAAAAAAAAACAAAAAGCCTCGAAGTTTTATTTTAGAGTCCCGCATGAAAATAGTAAAATTGAAATAGCAAGAACCTCCATACCTCTGGAGCCATGTAACCAAGGGTTCCAGTCTCTCCAGTCATGTCATTAGGATTTGAAGCCTCCACACGAGCAACCCCAAAATCAGCAATTTTTACTGTACGTGTCTTGTTTAACAACATGTTCTCTGTCTTTACATCTCTGTGAACAATCTTTTGTGAATGAAGGTAACTCAACCTACAACATGATAGAACCCCCTCTTAGGTATAAACCTAGAGAAAATTACAAGACATGTATTACGCTTGAGCTGTGAAACCACAATACAACAAATAAAAGAAACTAAAAACAGAAACGGGACATGGGTTAGATTACCCTTTAGCAAGATCGAGGGCAAGTTGAACAACCACTTTGAAAGCTAGCTTCCTTCTCCTGTTCTTTATAAGATAAGATTTCAGAGCACCCCCAGGAAGATATTCAACAACAACACAACACACACTATTTGGCATGCCTATTTGACCATTCTCGGTTTGTATTTGTAGCCCTGATGAGCCCATTGTTGCCCCTATAAACTGGAAAGGATAAACCAGAATGAGTAAGAATAAGAAACTACAAAGAAGTTCAACGACCGCTAAAACAGTATAGTTACAAGTATGCATGTCTTTCAGAAAATATAAGCCACAGAGCTTGATGACAAATTCATATTTGCTAAGTTTCTTTTTCTAATTGATGAAGAGGCAACATCATATGCAATTACAGAAAGGGAAGCTAGTAGATGGAAGTAATATAAATAATGCTATCGAGATTTTTTTGAAAGGCATAAAAAGTTTTATTAGTGAGAAGTTTAAGTACAATCTTCAATGAAATGATAGCCCAACATAAACTTAAGAACCCAAGAGTTGGTAACCCGACCCTAATAAATTATCTGACATAAACCCCAATATGACTAAATAAGAAAAAATGAAAAAAAACAGCGGGAACTTCAGCAAAAGCACACAACGATCGACAAATTACAAGAAGCAGCAAATAAATAATGCTATGAGATATTAAGTCTTCCTAAGAAGGATCATAGGAAGATTTAGGCAACCTTGGATAATATCATATCAGTATGTCAGTGCAAGCAGAAGTAGATCTTTTTTGGGATTTAATTCTTGAAACATTCCCTGATCCTTTTCCCATCCACCAAAACTACAACTCCCCACCAACACACCCAAAAAAACAAAAAGATTCCTAAACCAAAGTGATCCACCAAAATCATGAAGAAACTGAGAAGTTTCCAAAAGCTGAACACATGGTAATGACCTTCTCTTGAGGGGCAAAATGATGATGGGAAGGGGATCAGGAGAACGATGGGCTGCCACCTATCTTTAAATTTTAAAAGTAAAGTAAAATATGTGTGAGTTCATCTTACATGAGTGCAGTGTGTGGAATATAAATAATTAGAGAAAATTTTTCTCTTCTGAGAGCATTAAAGTTTTTTCAATAAATTCAGGTTCAAAATTAAAGATTTATACTTTTCAAATGTCCTATACTATATGCAAATGCCAATCAGCTATTGACATACCAAATTTTTTGGAGTATTATTAAGAATGTGAACTTCAATCCTTTGTAAGAAAACAGAAAGTAGCTAAAGACAAAAAGAACAAGAAAACAATCAATATGATCCCATTGATAAAGGAACAAATAAAAAGTGAGCAAGATTGAAGAATGAAGGGGGACCAAACTAAACAAGGGCTACTTCAACCTCTTAAAAGAGTATTATAAGAATTAATCAATTTGGTTGTAAAAACAGAAAAACAAAAAGTCCAACACAAAAGATTTGATTCAAGGAAACTAAAAACCCTTGTAGCACATCAGATCATTATCAAATAAGGTGAAGGATGTATTTTCTCACAGAATTTTAATTTGTATTCATAACTTGAATATAGGCAATTTTAAATTGTGAAAAACCAATTATCAGGAAATGTCAAGACAGAAGGTATCTCTTCAAGCCATTCATTTATGATAGGTGCGTCATTAAGCATTCCACATGTCAGGTGTGTATTTCCTTCCCATTTGGTGCTGAAGGTGTTTGAAGAATTTTATCATAGTGCCAGAAACAGGTGATTGCTTTGATAACATTACACCAATCCCATCACTTTTTAGACATTGAGCTTGTGAAGACATTAACAGCAATATTAGTAAGCTTTTGATGTAAGATTCTTTAAGCATTTTATTATAGTTGAGCCATGGTTGCAAAAGCAAATATCCAGGCATTTATGTACAAGCCTTCCCATGCTATCCAAAATCCACCCACAAATGTCTTAAAAAAAAAAGGAAAAAAAGTTCTTCTAAAGTAGAAATTCACCTTAGTAACATTGGAATGCTCGAGTTTATGCCAGACAGCAACTTCCTGTGAAAAGGCTGCCCTTAGTGAGGCAATCTCAGCTTCTGTCCTGTGGCCCTCCTCACCCCAGTCAAGCAGCTTCACTGAAGACAAAAAACCATTGAAGTAAAACAAATAAATCTCGCTAATAAGATACAAACCAATCAATCAAATAGCTCTCATGTTGGTTGGAATAAGAGACTATCAATAATTACGGTAGCAAGAAAATAACACATTAAAATCACGATTTCCATCTATAAAATCCATGAAACAGTAAATTCTTTTCTTTTCCTGTTTACTCATGTATTAACTAACAGCTAGGATCACATGAAAGCTAATTATAACAACAGTATTATCCAAACTGCTGTTGATGGAACCAAAAAATTCAACCCAAAGCCGTGCAGAGTCACGGACTTCATAACACTACATTTAAAACTGTCAATCACCATACCTCCAAAACAGTCAAATGTTTAAAGAATACCAGAATTTCTACTAAATGGATGAGGATCCAAATGAATAACCGGTAATAACATAGCAACGCTGAGACTAATTAACTATGAAATGAAGGGACCTCAAAGCAACAATAACGAGTATCAAGTATCATAATAGTCCTTGTCCAATATTGCACCAAGAACTAGGGTAGACCTTAGTAAAAACACTTGAATTTGCCCCCATTTCAGTTGTAAAAGAACAAAAAATCCTTAATTTCACAAAATTAACTGATAAATTTATTAACCATTGAGTAGCAGTTTAAAACTTAAATTAGTCAATAATTTCGTTTAAAAGAAAGGAAAATGGCCTTGAAAGAAAAACAATATTAAAGAAAAAGGAATTGTTTTGCATTTGGACATTCAAAAAAGAAACTGACCGGCAACATCCAGTCCATCATAGATGCCACGGTGAACAGTGCCAAAGGTACCGCGAGCAATGACAGTTTTGATGATAAGCTTGGAAGGGTCGATCTCCCACTCCAGTCTCTCCTTCTTCACAAAAGCTGCAGGTTTATAGGTGCTACTGTGAGCAGGCCTGAGCTTTCCGTCGTCATCACCACCATCATCATCATCTCCCTTACTCTGGCTGTTGTCACTAGTCCAAACCCTGTTAAGATGCCTCTCAAGCTGCTCATCCAAGCTCTTGAGATCAACCTGATCTGCTCTCACAAACCCATCACTGCTTTCCTTCATACTTTTTGAAAAGGCTAAAGCTTTAAACACGAGATCAAAGGAAAAGGAGGAAAATGAGGGAGTTGCTTAATAATACGTGATGGGAATTAAGTGTAATAGTTAAAAAGACTTGCTTTTTAGTTCTTGCAGTTGTTTGTTCTTTGTCTTTGAAGTTGTTTTTGATGTAGAAGAAGAAGAAGGAGAAGAAAGAAAGTGTTTGTTGCGTCTCCAATCATCCATGTGGGCACATGGAATTGCCTGAACACAACGTGTGTAATTGACCCACTTCGGTCTCCTTCTTACTCCTTCATTGTTTCAAATTCCTCCTTCACTGTTTATTTCTTTTTTCAATATATAATACATTACATATTTATAGTTACCACTCACAATAATTATTATTCTTTTCATTATTATATATAATATTAATGCAATCTCAGCACTGTTTAAAAATTGTTTATATTTGACCCTAATACTCTCTTGTCCCAAAATTATTATCTCTTATTGATTATTAAATTAATTAAAATTTGACCATTATTTTAATAGAATTAAAAAATTAAAAAATTTTAAAAATAAGATTTTAAACTTTAGGTTTCAAAATTTTTAAAACAAATTTTTAAAATTTTAATTTAATATAACATTTAAAAAAATGAAAGTCAAAATTGAGTTATTTTGATAAAAAAAATTAATAGGGGACAATTATTTTGAGATGAATGAAGTATAATAAAACAATTCATAGAGGAAGAAAGAAAAATGAAAATGAAGAAAGGAGTATTTTCCTTTATTTATTAGTGAAGAAATGAAGTACTAAAAAATTATATGATTTATTGTTAAGGATGGCCAAAAAATCTGACCGTCAACAATTTTTAAAACAATTTTTAAGCATGACTCCAACGAATGTAAATAATTTAGAGAAATGATCAATGCTTGTTGATTTGAATAGTGAGAAGTTTGATTTTTTTTAAGTAAAATTTTTATTTTAAATATTGTGAATAAAAAAATAAATTTGAAAGAGTTTATTTTTTTTATAAAATTAAACTCGACGTAATTTTGAATTAATTAAAATTTAAAGTGATTGTCGAACATCGAAAAATCTTATAAAAAAATTTTAAAAAATGTAAATTTAGAATAGCATAAACTCATCCCGGTTGGAAATGGTATAGTTATATGATGATTAAAGGTGCGAAAATTGTTGTATTTGGGGATTGGAGATTAATGATGAAGAAAATAAATAAAGAAATTTAGGCGAAAGACATTTTCAAAATTTCCTTTTAGGATAATAGTGTTTGTTTGTTGTTTTTTTTTTTTTTTTTTGAGCAAAGGAAGTGTATTATTAATTAATCGGGGTACAAATTAATAAGCCTTAGTATGTGTTCAGGACAATCACCTACCTACAGTCTATCAACATTCTGTTGTAAAGCATATTTAGCAATCTTATGTGCATGAACATTGGCAGTCCTTTTAACGTGTTTCACTCTAAAGGATCTAAAGGTCATAGGTCAGATATCTGCCATGATGTTCCCTACTGCAGACAAGTCTTTAGCTTATGATCTGATCCCGTTAGTGATCCGTATTCAAACCTCGTGCAGGACGCCAAATCCACAGCCATGCCCGCATCAAAAGTTTCAACCGTATTGGAGTCCTTCACATATTGGCCATTATGCTCATGGCAGTCCCAATAGCATCACCATTCCTTACTACAGCCCCAAGACAACCCCATTCCACAGCTAGATTAAGAAAGCCATCAAAGTTTATTTTAGTGAAGCCCAGCGTTGGAAGTTCCCAAGCAGCCTGTACCGCAGGTTCACAATCTATCCTACTACCGTTAGCGAGCCAGAACTCCTCTAAATAACCAGAAGTGAATTGCACCACCATTTCTGGTGTGAGGTGCTCATCTGACTTCACAACCCGGTTTCTACTATGCCACACAGCCCAACAAAGGACTAATCTTCTCGACAGTTCTTCATCGCTCATTGCCTTAGCAACCTCATCGAGCCAGCCATTGTCTGCCTCTAGATCAACCTCCCTCCATTTTGCTAATAGAGCAGCCATACTCCAAACAACTTTGATCCTTTCACAGTTCCTAATGGCATGGTTTTTAATTTCTTCCTGTTGGCCACACCTAGGACATATTTTTTGCATGCCAATCCTATTGGAGTTTCTCTTGAATCTCATAATCTCATATCGAAAGTTAAGTGAAGTTATAAGAGTTTGAATTTATCTTATATCTCACAACGAAAGTTTAGTAAATGTATAAAATATTTCACCTTTATAAATAAGATGTTTTGGTTTAAGTTTAGTAATTTTAGATAGTTAGACACCAAGAGAATAACTAAGTGAGTAAACTATTAAAAAGGGTAATTGGATTTTGGGTTAAGTTTTGAATAAAGAGTTTTTGGTGACTTTTCTCATTCTAAAAGTCTCATAGTTATAAAGATTTATTTATTAGTGAATTGGGTTTAAAGTGGGTCATTTTTTAGTTAGACTAAAACAAATATATTTATGTGTTCTTATTTTTTATTTGAGCTTGCTTTTTTATGCATGGGTGCTGTGTGTGCGTGTTGATTTCTCAACAAGTGATATCAGAGCGAGATTCATAGAAAAAAAAGGCAGGCCCAAAAGATTGTGAAACAAGTGTTTCAAGATGTCTGAAAAAAGTATGTCTAGTGTGTCTATGCCCAAGTTTGAGTTTGAGATTCTGTTATTTGATTAAAAGAGTAATTTTATATTATGAGAAAGTACAATTCAAGTTTTATTAGTATAACAAGGTTTGGATCAGATATTAGAGAGTAGTAAGCTTAAAAAAATATTGATAGTAATTGGAATAGAATTCAAAAGAAAGTTATTGGTACTATTAGATTGGCATTAGCCACAAAGGTAAAGTATAGCGTGTTAACTGAGAGTACTTCGAAGAGTTTATGAGATAAGCATGAGGGTATTTAAGCATCGAAGTTATTGACTAATAGATTATGTTTGAAGATGGATATGTATTCTCTAAAGATGAAAGAAGGTATGAGTCTTTATAATCACCTAAATGAGTTTAACAAATTGGTTTATCAATTGCTGGCAGTTTCTGTTAATGAGTTAGAAGATGAAGAAAAGATTTTACTTTTGTTGTCATCTTTGTCCAATTCTTATATGCCTTTAGTTCAGACTTTGGTGGTGGTAAGTCTACTTTGGATAATGTGACTGTCCTGTTGCATGAGAACAAAAAGTTTATGGGAACACAGAACTTATCACCTAATGTGAATACACTAGTTGTAGAGGATTTTGATTAAAGAAAGACTCAAAAGAGGATTGATGGATCAAAAAAGGGATCCAAGTCAAGAGACAGAGATTACAGTGACATAAAATGTTATTATTGTGGTGAAAAAGGCATATCCAATTGCGTTGTAAGAAGTTGAGAAGGGATATAGCTACTTTCAAAAGGGCAAATGATAAGAAAAAATCATATGAAGAAAAAAGTGATATTGTTGCCATTGTGTTTGATAATGATGATGTTTTTTTGACGACTTGTATGGATGAGACTCGATTTTAAAAGTTAATAAAAGTTGAGTTTTAGATTCAGCTACTATAGTCCATATTTGCAATGATAAAGAGTTGTTTTATAGAGTTTGAGAATAATGTAAAGTATGAAGATATTGTGGTTGTCAACAATAAAAGGTACAGATTTAAGGCATTGAAAGTGTTCACCTTAAATCTTATAATGGTGTTATTATGACACTTCATCATGTAAGGTATATATCGAGTTGTAGCTACAATTTGATTGATTTGGGTGAGTTAGCTTTTCGATGGTACATATACTATGGTAATAATGATTCACCGAAAGTGTACAAGAATGGTAGTGTGATTCTACAAAGGAATATGATCAAAAATCACTTGTACATACTTGATGGAGGCTCAATTGCTAGAATTCCTGTGATGAAAGAAAAGAAAAAAGGTAAGCGTGTTAGCTTTGTAAATATTATTAAAGTGTTTAAAGATTCAAGTCAAATGAGGATTTGTTGGGGTTTACCTTGAATTTCATAATCCCACATCGAAAGTTAAGTGAAGTTATAAGAGTTTGAGTTTGTCTTGCATCCCACACTAAGAGTTTAGCAAAGGTATAAAGGCTTTCATCTTTATAAAAAGATGTTTTGATTTTAGTTTGGTAATTTTAGATAGTTAGACACCAAGATACTAGCTAAAAGAGTAGGCTATTAAAGAATGTGATTGAGTTTTTAGGTTAAATTTTGAATAAAGAATTTTTGGTGACTTTTTTCATTTTACAAGTCTCACAATTTGTAAAGATTTATTTGTTAGTGGATTGGATTTTGAGTAGACCATTTTTGAGTTAGGTTGAAACAAATATATTTGTGTGTTCTTATTATTGATTTGAACTTGCTATTTTATGCGTGAATATTGCATGTGCATATTGATTTCACAACAAATCCCTCTCTTCTGCAGTATGGTGTAGGTTAAAAAAAAACCCAACATCAACTTCCATCCAAATATTTTGATTTTATTTGGAATATTTGTATGCCAAAGCTTTTTCCAAATCTATCTCTCAATAGTAGTAAAAGTTCCTATGCCATTGAACTAACCATTACCATCCATGCATTGAGTTGATAAAATCATACGATATACGCTCTAAACCTAGGAATGATCGTTCTTCACTATGCACCATGTGAGCACATTAGGGTGACTATTTGTACTCGGAGGAATGGATAAAATTCGGTGCGCTACCTCTGTATGTAAAGTACGATCCACAAGATCCCTATTCCACCTTTTAGTTCATGTATCACTAAAAAAGCCACCCTTGCATCCTCATCCAAAAAACTTTATGCTTGGCTACAATAAGGTATTAAACCATTCTTGGGAAACCATTAATCCTTCCAAATTCTTATACGATGCCTATCCCTCACCCTCCAACGTAGTCCATCTTGTAGGTCCTTCCTAGCCAACCAAATGCTATGCCATATAAGATATGGTTCTCGGCCTAACTTGCCCTTTAAGAAGTCATCATTTGGAAAGTACTTGTCTTTTAGAACTTTGAATAGCAAAGAGTCTTGGTTTCTAATCAGCTTCCATACTTGTTTGGCTAGAAAATGCCCGGTTGAAAAACTTCAAATGTCTAAAACCCATTACTCCGATGGCTTTACTCATGCATAGTTTATCTTACTTTAACTAGTGGATGCCCTTTTCATTTTTCTTTGCACTTCACTAATAGTTGCTAATTAAACTGTTAATCTCTTAGCATAAACTCTTAGAAAGTAGGAAGTAACTCATACAACAAAAAGGGATAGCTTTGAGAATTGACTTAATGAATACTTTTTGGCCTCTCAT